AACACTTGGACAGGATTGATTTGGATGTGTTTGGGTGGAGTGGTTTTGGCATCTTTTTAAAGGACCACCTGAATAGGCTGGAGCTTCAGTGGTGCTTTGGGTCCTTGGTGGAGGGGTCCACTGCTGATTCCTTGGTGTACAGAGGTTGGGAGTCCGCCCGGACACGGTGATGGGCGACCGGCGACCGAGGGAAGGATGCTTTCCCTCAAGGCTTCTGGAGGGGATCCGCATGATGGTCTCTGGGCTGCCTTCCAAGGTTTTGGCCCAAATCATCCAAAACATGCCAAAACAATGACATAAAGGCGAGCATTAATGATATAAAGGCGCGCATTTAAAGGCCAAGTTTGAAGGCAAGCCGGCAAGCCGAATGCGTGCCAGCAATAATTCTCCAATTGTGTTGACCTCGTGCATGGCCCAAGGACCCTTTTCGACCTCTCATGCTTCCCAGAGCACCCGGATCTCAAACAAAACACTGGCCTCGAAAAGGATACCCTCTGACTCACTCACATGGAAGTGGAAAACCACCTGTCAGTACAGTAGTGGATTTCATGGTCTCCCCTGGGGCCTTTGTCCATTTCCATGTTAGTGAGTGGGAGTGTACCAAAACTGCTGGAGCACCCTCCAACATTGCCAGCACCCGGCACCCGTGGCGGACGGGTGCACTCCCAGTCTGCAGACCGCAGGACGTCTGCGGGGGTGCTCCAATCCCTCCCACTCGGTCCGAATGGGTCCGGAAGCCTCCGGACCCGGGGCTCAACTCACCGTGCTTTTTCGTGGTTTCCACCACTGAGTTCGCCCTCCACGAGCCACACTTCCAGTCTAGGTTCCCAGACACGACACATGGGACTGCCATAGGACTGCCGATCAATTGACCCCCAGTCAACCACCCCGTACCACCGTTTCTCGGCAGTCGGCAGTCCCATGTGTCACGTCTGGGGTTGGAGGCCATTGCGTCCCATTCCAGATTCAATGCCATGACTTTCTCCGCAAAGCTCCGCATCCTTTTGCTTCTGACGCGGCTCGGCTCGCTGCGGGACCGGAGACGGACGAGAGCTCGAGGCGTCCGTCATTTGTTTCGTTGGGAGTGGGGAGCCCATGCTTCAAAAGAAAGGCTTCCCAGGATATCCACCATGATTCTGATCTTTCACCACTAAAACACCACGCAAACGTCGAACCACATGCACCTCCATCCATTCTCTGAAACGAGAACGTGAACCAGTTATTCCGCAAGGTTCAAACACCTATCGCGCGTGCGAACCTGGACATCGGCATGCAGGGTTCACAAAAAAAGCATCAAAAAAGGGGAAGAACAGTACGCACAGTTTCTCCTACCAGGCCACAGTTTCTCTGTGCTGCAGGGCTCCAAGTTTAGCCTGTTCCCAACTTGATGTATGGCCACTTCGACGGCATTGGAATTGCGAGGCGCTCCGGCAAATGTGTAAATACACATTTCGAGCCTCGCAAACTTGGACCTTTTCTGGATCGTTGTGGCACACAGCTTTCTGTTGGGGGCTCGAACCTCAAAGATTTAGTCTAGGAGTTCACTAGTTCACTCTTCCATTGAGAACACATGTCATTTAAAGTAGCTGCTTCAACCGTTCAACCCCCATCCTGAGAGCTATATGACATATATAATGCTATATACACTGGGCCACACAGCTCGAATCCTACAATCGACTCCGTCTCAGTCTCAAAGCCACTGCTGCCACCAGCAGTGCTACCATTGCAGTCGCACCCAACAACGGCATCTGGCTAGTGCTGCTGCGAGCAGGGGCAGTTTGCACACCTGAGTGAGGAAGATGGAGGAATCCAGCAATTTGAGATGGTGGACATGTCCGGCACAACAGATGGAAGTGACACTTGACATGGAAGAAGCACACATGGATCACACCAAGGGACGGGGTACAGGATTTGAGGGAAAAACGCCTTATTATCAGACTTCGGAAAACCAGGGAACGTCCGTGAGACCAGCCGAAGAATCAACTGTTTAGCGGCTGCAGCTTTTCCTCCTCCAAAAAGGTGGTTGATTCTGGAGGAAGCACTACCTAGATAGGACCTATATAGATCCCTCATGATCCCTCCAATTCTAAGAAGCCCGAACAAAAAACGCGTGATCCTGAGGAGTTGATCCAACCTGTTGGCATCACTAGATAGATTAAATCTCAGCCAGCATCCCATCCAACTCCATGAGCCGCAACCCGCGCCGCGAAGGACAAAGCCAAAGCACAGGTTGGAAAGTCGATGACCTGTGCCACGGAAAAGAGGGTCGGTTCTCAGGTCCACCCCGTTCTCAATGGAAAATCCCATCTCCCGATGTCACGGCGCCGTTCTTCCAGGTCTTGGCCCCACGCGTCCCCACGCGTGGGATGCCGAACATCAAATCCCCCTCGTGTGTTGGCGTGTTCGTTGGCTCGTCCCGTGTCGCATCCACCCTTGGATTTGGACAAAACTGTAGCAATCTGTATAGCATCAACTACCCAGACTGGGTGGTCCTACTTAAGGCCACACTTCGCCGTCTGCGCTTCGGCACTCGAACTTGGTGTGCGAACCAGCGAACCCAGAATCCTGAGGAAGACCGACTGTGCATTGGGACGTGCCAGGACCCATCCGTTGATCACCTGGTTGGACGACTGCCCTACCAGAACTAGGACCCTGCTTGTGGAATCACTCCGCCGGTGAATTGCCATACACAATTACTATTCATTACCTATCCTCAAGAAGCAACTCTTGATGCAATTCTCTCCAACTCTTTCAGTTCATTCCCTACCCCACATGAAAATGAGGCATCATGTGGACAGTTTGTACAACTTGGCACCTCCCAACTTCTCAATTCCTGGCCTCAAAAAAGAAGTGGTTCAAATCCTTGGCCATCAGCTCAGGCTGCCTCGGCGCGCAGGCAGCGCCAAACCGACGTGAGACGGAATTTGAGTCGCTTCAGTTGAGGTGATGTCGATGAACAAGTGAAGTACTGTTTCTTTTTCAAGAGTGGGCCCTAGGTGTTTTTTGCCAAGTCCGGCGCCTGTGGTGGTTTTGTTCTTCTTGTGCAGTACATGACTGTCTCACAAATATTGAATTAATGAATTATTGAAAGCGTGGTATAGGTATAGGCAAACGATAAGCATACGTACTGATCAGTACCAATACACCCAAAGTACTTGTCCACTGCACCTGTCTCCGCCATGCTGCAGCGATTTCCGCTGCAGCGCTTTCCGCTACCGAGCGGCTCAAACGCAAAGAAGTGACCACCTTTGGGTGGAGCGTACCAGTGCCTCAGATAGGTTCCACACCCTCCAATCATGGAACTGGGTGGCATGGCCACGGAAAAGCCATGAAATCCGAAGACCAAACAGGGGATTGTCCACTTGCGGCAGTTGGAGGGGCATCTCTTCCCCCCAAATGATGCTGCGGTGAGTAGATAAGTCATGGGTCTCAACAGGTGGATCTGAACCATGTTCTCAAATGGTCCTTCGCGATCCGGTTGGCGCGCCCATGCCCTGCAGGGGCGCCCTGCATGGCCCCTGCGACTCTGACTGGGTCGGCTTCCGGGCCTGTGAAAGCAAAAGGCCAGGGATTTCCAATAGCTTCGTGTTACTAGTAGTACGGCCAGGAGCCCCGTTCGTAGCGTCCTTGCTCCGTTCGTAGCGATGCCAGGAACCCCTAGCAGCGTTCTATCCACACGTCTTCTATAGATGCCGCATCGCCAGTCCGAAACAAACCGCACATGGACCATCAATGGCACCCTGAGAACGAGAACGGTCCACCAACCAAACGGGGTCGAGTTTCGGGAGATCCAGGCGCTTCACTGGTATCATCTACTGCCGCCCTCATCCGCCCTCCCTGCCCAGCGGCTTGATGTTGTAACGCAGCTCAGCCACCTCGCAGCTGTCGCAGCTCTGCTACGAGCTACTCAGAATAGTGAACGGCTCTCAGCTCCATGGAGAAATATGCATACTCTACGACCTGGACCTTCAAAGGGGTTGTCCTGCCAGATCCACAAGTATATAGTGTAGGGTATTCCATGGTATTCCATTGGAGACCCCTTTCGAAGGTGCTGGTAGGTCTAGTTCCAGCCTGCACAAGACTGTGTCAATTAGGAAACAGGGATTCCGGGGGTGTGCTAGCTACGATGCAATCAGGCAGGCGGCATGTGTGGTTGTGTGTGTGTGTGAAGCAGGCAAGGCCACTGTGCTGGCCTATGCTATCTGCCAGAGCTGTAAACAAACACATGAGGCAAGTTAGGGCACCCCTAAATGGACCACATGACCTAAGCCTGCGGGGACCAAAGCCATGATGTTTGAGTTGCAATGAAAATGTCTCCCAGCCTTGCGTGGCACCTTGATAATCTCAGCCTTGGACCAAATCACGCCTGTGGGCACTGCCACGTAACCTGAGTACACCGAGCCCTCACCATGGACTGGGACCAAAGTACCCCCAGTCGAGGAACGGCAAGCATGTGAGAACCCATCAGTACCTGGTGCTTGCTGTTGGGGTATGCCTTCCTTCAGGAAGGTGCGTCGACGGATTTGTCGAAGTCGTCCCCACAATGTGAACCTACAATGATCCGCGTTGCAGCCAAGCAGTCGCACATTTCTGTTCTTGCAGTTGAAGGTTTATCTCGCTGGCAAGGCTGTCTCTAAACTATCAGGCTACAAAAAATAAAAAATAAAAACACGCTTGACTCTTGACAATTGCAATTTCAAAGCCATTGAACGTTTTTGGACAAACGCAGCACAATGTCAGACATTTCTGGAGTCCGGGCCCCAATAATAGGCTGCATGATGTATGGGTAGTGTCTTAAAATAGTGAGACCTCCCAGGCAACGACCCCCTAGAAGGAAAATAGATCAAAACCCCACGGGTGTTGGGTGTCACACCCTGAAAATGCCAACCCGGACCCATATATTCCCAAACACTCCATGTATGGCATATCTACCTACATTGACCCCCAAAACCACCCCAATGTAGGTCTATACGGCAGTCCCATGGAGTGTCTGGGTATTCCCATCTGTCCGTTTCGAAGAACCGAGTTTCGGCTGCTTGGCCCACCTGGGCCCAGGTTGGTCCCTCATGATTTGGGCCAGACATGTCCGTGGTATGGACATGCACGGTCCAAAGTGCAACAAAAATCGTGCGACATGCTCGGGTGAACAAAAAAAGTCCATTTAGGCAGAGAACTTCTGAAGGATCGACCAAAGCAATCCAGAAGTCTCGACCGTGATCCATCTCGACGTCGAGGCGGTTGAAAGTCTCGAGGAAAGACCTCCCCTTAAGCAGGGAAGACTCTGAGGGAAAAGTCGGAGGTTAGAGTCATGTAGACTCTTGATGCATAAAACCCAGTTAAACCGGTGAAACAGCCTCCATATAACATCATGTCTTGGGATTTGATGGAGGTTGATCAATCTCAAGAGCCGGCACATCAAGAACGCCCGTGCCCTTTCCGCCAAGAAGGCCACCAGGCTGTAGCTGCAAAGGTTCCTTGTGGCTGGGGTGGAGCCCCAAAGTCTCCTTGCTCGGCTGTGGCGTTTGGTCCGGACCAACCAGGACACACCGGTCCGGGTCCCGAGGTCCCGGGACCTGTTTTGAGGTTTGTCTATGGGCTCCATGCTTTCTTGCATGCTTTCTTGGATGGGCATTTTAAGACCATAAGCGCCTGGTTGTGTTTCAGTAGAGCACCGAGCACCTCGAATCTGGAAAAGATCCTTCCAAAACACCTGGTGACCTCGAAACTCCTTCGCTCGACTCACACCAGAGACATCCTCAAACATGACCCGGTCACTCCAATCTGCACACCATAGCCGAAAGGGGGTCCTTCGGCATCCTTTGGCACCTTCCACATTCCATTTCAAGCTGCTTGAAAAAGAAACGGCCATTCCGTTTTAGCATGTTCAGGCCCGATCCACTTGGATTTAAGCCCAGGAGGCGTAATAAAGCCGACAGCTGGAGGTAATGCTCTGGCTGCTCCAGTAGATCATCACATTCGTCCTCGCTGCGTTGGGCACTTTCTTCAGACCCCGGCCCCGGTTGAGCTGCGAAATGACAAGGCCGATGGGCAGAAACGCGACAAAGAAATGACAAAAGTAAAACAGAAAAGAAACAAAGACAACTGCATTTACTTCATGAAAGGGTCTTCTAGGGTCTTCTTGGGCCAGAGGCAGATAGGCAGATAGGCAAAACAGAGCCCGTTGATGACTGAAACAGAAAAGACAGGGCATACAGAGGAGGTGTGTATATATATATATATATCAAGCTCTCAAAAGGAAACCGCTCCTTGCCCCCGACAGCCATGTTGAAACCACTAGTCCATCAACCATAGAAAGCAAAAAATAAAAGTATCAAGAACAACGCATTGGCTGGCCATGTGTTTGGTACCAGGCCACCATCCTGAAACTTGATCTTGGGCCCCTGTTTTCCAAGGTCAGGTGCTGGTGAACCTGGTTCACCACCTCGGGATCCACCATCAGCTGCCCCCAATCTCCACTCAATCATTGCGATCTACGAGCATGTTTGGAAACACCCCAAAGTTCGGTGGCTCCACCTGTTCAAGAGGGGAAAGATCCCGCCCAACGAGTGCCCCAGCTCCATCAACCGCATGAAGCACCCCCCCATGGCCTCCAACCTACTAGCTTCTTGCTACTAGTAGTGGCCTCCAACCTAACAGCCATGGCCTCCAACCTAACAGCCATGGCCTCCTACCTATTAGCCATGGCCTCCAACCTAACAGCCATGGCCTCCTACCTATTAGCCATGGCCTCCAACCTAGGCCCTAGTAGCGATGGCCCCTTGTCCCAGTCTTCTGAACCCGTGAATGGCTCGAGCATCAAAATCTCGTCCATCGTGAGGCCGCTGCCCCCTGGTGCGTCCGGCCGCTGCCCATGGCTGTCGCTCCAGCTTTGGAACTTCCTGAGGGCCGAAGTTGCACGCGCCAACAACAACGAATCTAAAGGAGAACTGAGGCCTGAGGACTTCTTGGCAACATTGCCTAGCCTACTCAGTGAACAATTATGGTTCCAACAACTGCCAGGAACAAGACATGGAGACCCTTTGCAAACGAATGGCCTCCCAAAAGGTCTACGCGGCTGCAACCATCTATATATATATATATTCACTACTAACAGCCTACCAAATCACTCAGTCCCTTACCACTTCTCCCAAGCACCGTCCGCGGTCCAAGGCTGTTCCACCACCTCCTCCGAATCTACCCGGAAGCGACCTCTCTCCCCGGGTCGGTCCGTGACCTGCTCCGAATTCGCTTTTTCGAACGACCATCGGTGGCACCTTTTCACCCGACCCGGTCCGGGTGAAAAACCAACACCCTTGGAACTTGGCACCAACACCCTTAACCTCGAAGAGACTACAGTTGAAAGCCTTTCATGGCTGCACCTCCTACCCAAACGACCTGGTGAGACGTGGCACGGTGCTGGCGCCACCCGGCCCTGGGCCAGTTTGGGGGGGACCAGGAAAGAACGTCCCAAACCAATTCTGTGCAGGGTTCGCTATTTTTGCGTGTGGCCCGCAACACAAGTTTATATCCATATTAATTAAGGTGTTAAATAATGGTAGTTGATTCAAGTATATTCAAGTGTTTATGGTTTATAGGTTTGTAAAGTTTATGGGAACAACATGTCCGAAGAACAAAGAAACATGTTTAAAAACTGATTGCCATTGGTCATCATCTCATGAACATGCCCTACTCTATCCTACTCATCAATCGGGAATCTGAAAGCACCAGACTGAACATAAGGACCAAAAAAGAACGTCATTCCCATTGTCTGATCTACTTTCAAGACCCCCAGCTATTTGACCCATATCCTCTCGATGCCTCTCCCACCTGGTTTGTGCAGCCTGTCGCCGACTCTCGTCAAGATGCTCCAGGATCCAAGCCAACAAGCCCACAGGGCTGTCGTTCAGGCCATAGCCTCTCGTGAGAAACGAACAAAAAACACGTCGGACACCTCGTTTCAGTGCAAATGCGCAGGGATACGATCGGATGAGGACGGCACAAACAAGCCTTGCGGGTGCCAGATGAAACCACCATGGACATCTGCTTGCGTTGGAGTCAGAGTAGCAATGACAAAGAGCTGCTACAGAGATTAGGTCCGTCCACCCTCGTGAGGAACACAGCACAGGCAATCACAAGAACCTGGCCTTACTCCTACCAGATCCTACCAGTAGCATACTTGCCCTCCGCCAAGTATTGGGTTTCATGATCGGTCCTCATCGGGGCCCATCGGATGATCTTTCGTGCTAGGCAGCGGACGAATCGCTCCGTCGGCAGGGTCGGGGGTCGTCCGGCCTAAGGTTTGAGGCTTCGTGCCCTGGATCTTCTGGTATCCCGTCTCATACTTCATAAAGTACTGGGTTCGCCGCACTGCATCCCACTCCTCCTGCACATGTGGCTGAAGTGGCTAGAGAGACCTGACTACTTCAGTTAGGTCTACGATGGAGGTGGCAAGCAGGCCAGGGTCGCCAAAAATCCATGTCAGACGAGGTTCGGAGTCTGCCAAGAAACCACGTCCCAACTGCACAGGTACGGTACGCAGTATAGACCAACGTTTGGCCACTGAAACCTTCACACAGCCTGACACCTTCAAGGAGCAGTCCGACTGAGAAATGAGAGTTGGAAACCTTCAAGGAGCAGTCTGCGTTTGACCCAAAAGGGTCAGACTGCCCGTTTCCAACACCCAGCTCCTTGCTCCATGAGGGCATGGTCAACGCGACCTGCCAGGTCCGGGCACGTTCGGTGGACACCACCAACCTTCGTCGAGTCGGTGGAGAGAGAGATGCCCGGGGAAAAAGACCAGTCCCAAACACTGGATGTATGGCCCTTTTCAACCACCTCAATGTATGGCAAAGATGGCCATCATGGAGTGTCTGGGAGTGACAGAGTTCGTAGCACCTTTTTGTTTGGCGGTGTCAGCCATCTTGCAACATCAACAATTGCAGGCCCCTTGATAGTCGGAAAGAAGCTTCAGCTATCTTCAGCTCCTCAGCTCCAAGAAGCACCCAATTGAGCTGAGTCTGACCCCTCCACGCCCACACCCTGAGTCCAGGCCTGAACGAAATCGGAAATGGTCGATGGGATGGCTGCACACATGTTCCTTAGCATCCAAATTCATCCTTTTCACCAGTGACTTGGGGACAAAGCTGGAGACACCCAATAATTGGGATGGATCATGAGCCATTCCAGAGAGTTGCCATGTTTTTTTTCACGAGTGACTTATGTGGTTCCATCCCAGGCCCCATCTTGACATCCACTCCCGGTGGTCCATCGCACTTCCGGTCTGATCCGAACGCCGGTGAACGCGGTGAACGCAAGCCAGGGGCCCATCCCATTGGCTACTGTAGACTCTCCCATTCGATTCTGGATCTTCCAGTTCTCAAGTAAGGTAAAGATTTGGCACCGAACCAATCAAACAATCATGGAAGTGACACATGAAATTGGCCACATTCCTTGAGATTGGGGACCCAAGAAACTAACGCGAAGGACCTCAAAACCAGGCCAAGCTGCAGGTGGAGGGCCACACAGCGTTCAGGATACCTCCCAGCCACCTGACGGCTTGGTGCAAATATGCCACCTCTCTCTATAGTCATTACTTGTACATATATATATATATATATCATATATATATATACTGCCACCTCTCAAGCTAATGTCCTCCATTCCAAGTGGATCCCAGTGTCGACATGTTGCGGTGAAAAAACAGTGGTTCCTGGTCAGGCTGGGGCTCAGGACACTTTACTACAAAATCGAGCGAGCACAATGATACAGAACTGACCCCTTGGAACTTATTGCTTATACATCTGACGAGTGATTGCCATTTGGAGATCATACTTCCAACACCCTCATTCTCTGCCACACACTTCGACATGAGAGGGAGGGATGCGACGATGGCTTGACCTAAGGTAGTGAAAAATCATAAACCCCAATAGCAATCGCATCCTCACGTCGCATCGCACCCATCTGGCCAGCATGTGCTATGGTGCCCCTGAATGTGACATATATCCACCAAGCTCGTGCAATCTTCTTCCATCCAGGGCCAGCCTGATGCACCTATTTCGATCTATCTCGATCTCATTGTGGCCCCTTGGGAGCCAAGCCCGACAAATACCCCACCCCAGCGGTCGCAGACCCTCCGCCGCGCGACCGGCCACATCGAACGTGGTTCGGGCTCGAGGTAGACCATGCGTGGTTCGATTGCGCAGGTTCAAGTCGGTGCCTGCGTGGTGATGATGGAACCCCAGTCGCCGCCCTGTGCCACATAATGGGTATAGCCTGGCTGGGAGGTGCCAGCGAAGGCATGCGAATGCCCTCATCCGTCTCGCTTGAATGGCTGCAACCTTTCCACAACTGGGTCGTTTGAAGGAAAGTCAGATCCCCCAAGAAATGCTAAAATAACGTTAAGCTTAAATAACTACTGACGGGGTGGGTCTGAGATGAGCTTCAAAGGCACAAAGTTCGCCAGATTTGAGGAGGGGCACCTGTGTGAAACTGTGTTGATCCTAGATCTGAACCTTGATTGATGGAGCTCCAAACCCAAGGTTCCTCAAATTTCGGAAGTGAAGCTTCACCAGGTTCGCACATCTCAAATCATTCTCCAAATCGCCAAGGATCCTAACAAGCGCATCAGCTCTGCCAGCTGCTCCGCCATGAAAACCACCTAGCTAGGCTGAACGATAGGCAGGGTAGCGTCATGCAGGGCACTCGATAGGCAGGGTTCGTCAAAGGTTTGGATCTTCTGCTGGAACTGCACGCATCAACAGCTTCTGTCTTGCTTGTGATTTGATCCCCCTGTGAGTTATACGGGTGAGATATGGTGAGGTTCTGTTAGCCATTTTGTAGTTATACATCGAAAAGTGGACCTCCAGGTGTCTCTGGGGGATGAGTTATTGGTGCATTCCACCTCGCGACACTTCCGCAGCAGGTCTCTGAGGTCTCTCAAAAGTCACTGTCGATTGGAGAGGCCACCAAATCGACGGCGACACTCTTGCGATTCCCTAGGGCTCAGCTGATTCACCACGGTTTGGACCCTTTCTGCTCGCCAAATCAGGTCAACATGAGCGAACGATCACATCAAGTGGCTTCACGTCACGGTCTGCTCGGGGGCGATGCTTTCAGGCGATGCTCTGACCACACCCAGGTGAGTTTCTCACCACCGGGCAGCATAGCCCGACTTCCAAGCCACCCGAGATAGATCGATCGACCCCTTGGTGTGGGATCGACCCCTTGGTGTGGGGACTCGTTTTCCACAGAGAGCCAACCACCCAAGCGAGCTTGCGACGCCCCTCCGGCGTTCAGCCCCTCGGTGACAGGGGCAGGCTCGACGTCCACCCCCGGCACCTTCGTTCGGCACCACGTTCCTCCCATGGAGTATGGGTTGGTGGTTTCAACTCGCCGCACGTAAAAGGTTGAACACCAAGGCTACCGAAAAGGTACACCACCCAGGAGAAAAATCAGAATTCGTCAGTGGCTTCAATCATCTCAAAGTAAAGCTGAATAGGATGCTTTCACATGCTACCAACCTCTTTTCCATTTGCTTCTGACTCTCCGAGTTGATGCTCTCCCCGGTTGGTTGAACGGCCTTCGTCGCTTCCGCCGAGGGACTGAAGCCCCGGGCTCTTTGGGCGCCTCGCTGAAGCCGTAGCCAGGGATGCTGGGCGCCACGACGTGGAACTTCTTCAGCAGGGGCAGAAGCTTCCTGGAGGACGTCAGGTGTAACACATCACTGAAGACATCGGCTGGCGAAGAAGAAGAGACACTCCCTCCTGGAAGTGGATGGCACCACGTGTTTTGGTAGAGGAAAAACATCCAAGGGGGCCTATGTTGAGCTGTGTGTTTTCTATACATGCATGACATGCATGATCGTTTTAGGCATCATGCAGCTGAAATACATGGGAATCTCATGGACCCGGCGGCGTTGACCATCTTCCTCCACAATCTGTCGGATTGTTGGTGTGCAAAGCTTTTGAGTCACAAGCAGCTGCCTGAGCAATAATGATATAGGCCGACCACGCACCCGCAACCGATCAATCGATATAAATCGAACATCTGCCACCATTCCAAGCAGCATGAACTCCACGAAGGAGCCCGGCCAGCCGTGCACCAGCAGCAGCGGAATGGCCGCCGTGTCCTCCGGTTCGGAGGGCCCGCAAGAACAGACCGGCCGTTGGTGGGTCGGCACCTTGAAATGGATGAGAATGGTTGGAAGACATGGTTGGCGGTTGGCTGCGGCCCGCAGAGCTGCGGCCCAGTTTACTCAGACTCTGTGGCAGGGCAAAGAAGGTAGCAAGAGATGACTATGAAAAGCGAGGGTTCTGTTCTTAGTTCTTACTATTTCTTACTCATTTATATGCGTGAACCATTTATGGAGCAGAAGGAAAAGTATCTCTTCATCGTGGCATGTAGAGATCCGATCCAGCTTCCCCTTCCAACCACATCATAATCCCATTGTCATGCCTAAGCAAGCTCCAGTACCGACAGTACCGAGTCCTTCCTCTCAGCCGCCCCGCTTCTCTCCCACTTCACCGGGAACAATTCGTCTCGCGCTCCTTTGAGCGTTGGTGGATGAAGTGGGTCTTCAGGCCATTCACCTGCAAGGTGAACTGGGGCACCGCATTCAGCTTGGCCTCCTGCGGAACCCAACGCCCCGAAAATGAGCACTGGAACCCGAAACGGTGATGCCATTCAGTGGAGTGTAACTTGCATGATCTGTAATTGTCAGTTGTTTGATCTGTCTTGTCTCGGGCACCCAGAACTGGTCTGAGTGTGATATCCACGCCACGTTCTGCACGACCGGTCTTCACCAGGATCTCCTGCTGCCGCCAATCGAACTTCGTGAGCCAGTGAGACCTGCCAGGACACACGACCCCGCAAAACCATGCAAGACCAGCTACAGCCCGACGGGAGCGTCACCTGAAGTAAAGACGGGAAAACGGAGGTGTTGATATCATATCAAATACGATTAAGAACTCTGGTCTCTATTGATACTCCCTGGCCATGGGAATGGAGGGTGCGACCCCTGGCCAAGCTCTCAAGCATCCTTATAGGGTGCATGTGGCCCTTTTTCGACCCTCCAAAGGCCCATCCATCTCCCTAAAAACAAAGCCTATAGGTTTCGCCTGCATCCAAGTGGCACGTAATCTTGCAGTGCGGCCTTGTCAGTTCCATACCTCGTCACATGATCCGAGCGGGAGCACAGAGGGGTGCCCCCGCATGCTGGAGGGGAACATGCTGCTCTAGAGAAATCGTTCAACGCAAAGTAGATCTAGTCTACAATGGGTCTTCCAACTATGCCAAATGTCTGTCTTTTCATCAATGTACCCAGCCAAAAAGGTAGAAATGTAGCATAGTCGGAAAATCTGACTTGGTATACTTTGGGAACCCGGCAATCTGAAAAAGGCCTCCAACATGATACCAACTGCGAGGCACCTTCTGCATCGCCAACGAACCATCCGTTGCTGCATGGTTGGCAATGCCAGAGGCCGAACGAAGGTTCCGCAAAATTGGGAGAACCATGGACAACAGCCTTGTATCCCTTAATATGGATGGTTTCAAGATGTTTCAACACACCTCTGGAGGTAGACCAGTCAGTCATGATCTTCCTAGCTCAGCTCATCCCCCGCTCCAGACCATCAGCTTGGGCGCGCCCATGCACCATTGGGATCGCTTTGTCCTGCACCGACTTGGTCCGGCACCCGCGCGCGCTGCAGGCGCTGTCGCAGGTCCGTGAGGTCGTCGTCGGACACGTGAATCCGGAAGGGCTCGGGCGCGGCCATGGCAAGCGGAGATCGTGAAGGCCGGCGGGGGATCGAACTATGAGAAAACAAACCGAACGTGTTCAAAAGCTGCAGAAAGAACAAAACCCCCCTGGCGTCAGCGTAACGTGATTGATGCGATTGGATCACACACCTGTCACACACCCCCAAGTGACTTAGCATGACTCAACTCGTCAGGAGTCATTCTCCGCAGCACCCGGGACCGACACCGCCGGTGGATCGGCGCCGCCCCAGCCCCTCCGGGCACCACGCCTCTCACTGAGGCCAAGCGTTCGAAGCCTTCCGCGCTCAAGAGCCAAACCTCGACAGCGTCGGGACACGGCCGACCGAGGCGGAACAGCACACGGTCCACCCCCGATCCGGCCGATCCCACCGAGGCGTTCACCCGGAGGATCCAAAAATGTGAAGGGTCAAGGCTCCAAAACCACGAGCCATGGATCACCACCAAAGTCTCTGCCATAGGACCTTTTGAGGGGAAGAGTGGATATGGCATATGGCCATGAATCGGCCATGACCCATTCAGCTGGGTTTGCTGTGGTTTGTTTTTGGAAGATCTACGTCGTTGACCTGAGGCTGAACTCGCTGCATCAAGAAAGAGATCTAAGATCGCAACAGGAAGCGACCCCAAGTGCGAAAAGACATGAACATACTAAGCACTCCCAGGATTCCACATCCTTCAGTCCCCTCAAATCGGCCAAACTGCGCGCAAGAAGTGATCGGAGCCGGCAGTTACCACTAGCCTGCCTCAGTGAGGGCTTGTCACCATGAGCAATCAACACCAATGCCACACATCACCAGATCACTGAAGCTGCCCTTTTGATCTGGACTCATCCTTACGGGTTCCTTGCAGGGTCCTTGCATCGTTTGATACTGTTGGAGGCTGGAGTTTTTTGTTTTTCTGTTTTGTTGACTCGGTCGATCTAGAGACCTGTCTTCAGTTCCTTCGCCACCGGCCGGCCGGCGGCCGTGCGAGAAGCAGCGAGAACCGCGAGAACAGATGAAAAACGCAGAGTCGTGAAGGTCTGGGCATGCAGAAGAACCACTCCCCGTCCCATTAGACAAACAGCGCTTCGGCTTCACCCTGGTACCCCACAAGGTGGGACACTTTCTTCGAAGAGGCTGCGTCCCTGCAGCCAGGACTCTCTCAGAATCGTATTGAATCCTTAGCAAGCTCGTTTTGGGTCGCTCCACTCACGGTCTACTTCGTCTACTTCCTGGCTAAGCCCGGGCTAAGCCAGACTAGTTGACCCCCTTCATGAGTTGCACTCGGTGAGTCAGTTCTGTCAATGACTTCTGTTCGATGTTGGATGATGGCAACGGCCTGAGCCACGAAAAACCGCCGAACTCGAGCCGGAGCGGGGCGTCCGAGCTTCAGTGCGTGCTCCATGAGGATTCAGTGGGTCTCCAGATGGGTGTCCGATCCGAATCTCGATCAGTTCATGAAAGCGAAAGTCCATGAGATCGAGATCGAGAAACGGAGGTCGCTTGCCGAGGTCGTTTTAGGAGAAAGCAGCTTGTTTGGCCCGCCCCGGAAGCAGCCTCACAAGGCCCTTCGCCCCGAAGAGTGGACCAAGAGCTTGGTGACTTGACCAAACCACCGGGCTGGAGCGGGTCTCAGCTAGGTTTCAAAACTGGATAATGTATAAGTCAAAGAGCTGAAATGCCTTGAAATGCGTTCAGTGTAAGGGATGGTGTGCAAAGCAACTGCTAAGTCAACCCTGAGAACTTCCATCTGAGGAAACACGTGACTGCTTCCGATTCCCCAAACCTCGAGTTGACTAATACAGTCGACCACAGAGAGCGCACCTTCAACTGCCCCGCGCGGGAGAAGGCGCACGCCAATCTCTTCCCGGCCAGAGCTCTGTGAAACGGCTCCATGACCATGGGCCTCTTCCACCTTGGCCTCACAAAGAGCGCCCAATTTGGAGGAAATTGGAAGCGATGAGGGATTTCCTTTTTGGTGCTGAAATGTTAATGTTTAAGGTTTGTTGTGTCTTTTTGCTTTAGGTCTTCTATAGGTAGTTCCTTCTGGAATGTGGACATGAAGGTAGATGTACAAGTACAAATGTATCATGGTGTCGTCCTTGCTTTCGCAAGTGCATAGATGTCTCATGGTTTCCTCCTTGTTTTCGGTTTTGCTAGTTAGCTCTTTGTGGAGTTTTGAGCACAAGCCAACGAAGCAAAAGCCACAGAAGCCGAAAGCCACAGATGGCACAGAACCCACGTGAGAAAAAGATTATAGAAATCAGAAATCATATATATATATTTATATACATCTCAAAACAGCGACAAAACAACACAAAATACATCACTATCACCCTCCATTTCCTAGTACGAAGTGAGAGCCGAGTGATGGGTGATCCATTTGAAAACTTTGAAGGCTCTGTCTTGTGGCACTGGATGGCCGAGATCTAAAAGCACTGATTTGCTTTACACGGATTCACTATACATGTAGCCCCTGTTTTCGCGTACATCGCGGGTTGGGGACTTGTGTCTACCATTTAAGTGGTAATTTATACAAAATAATATGTTCATGCCTGACTGAGTCAGTCATCCATCCATCCCATTTCATTGAAAGTTCAGTCGAAGGGTGTCGAAGGCAACGCATGCCCATCCAACACATGGATCTAAAAAATGCACTCAGTCAAAGGACGTCAAAAATGGCATGAACACCTCGAGGTGCCTCTTGTTGTACAAATCATCCTCACTCTTCATTAGGTCTCTTTTCTACTGTTTCTCTATATACCGTTCCAACTTCCAACCCCTGAAAAAGAACAACTGTCCCTCTTCTCGGGCACTGTCGTTGTCGGCCTCCAAGGTCAACTGTTGCTCGTGTCGGTCCAAGATCCAGGACCGGAGTGAGCCATCCTCGCCGGCGCTCAGCACCCGCCTCAAGGCGATTCTCATGCCACACCCCGTCCAACGTGTGGCCACGGAGTTGCGAGTTAGTATAGCTGCTTCATGGCGCCTCACTACTGTAGGCGCTTCAGGGTGCATTCTGAGGGAAAAAACAAGTAGAAGCCCCAAGACATCCAGTCACCTGGAGGGGTTAAAGGTACTTCTGAAGGATCACCCGAACATCACGCAATTAACTGGTAACTCCGAGATCAAAAATCCGCGCCAAATTTTTTGATGGAAGGCTTTGTTAGGCTTTGTTAGTTAAGGAGACCCCGCAGGGTCAGGGAGGCCCCTTAGATGGAGGCCCCTTAGATGGAACAAAACGTCCCTTCCAACCATGACAGTGCCCAGTCGGTCACAAGGCTAAGGCATGGAGTTCACCAACTGTCCGGTCTTCGGATTTCGCTCGTGGTGCAGGGGGTCAAAAACGCGCGTGGGCGTCCTCGTGTGTTGGGCCCATCGCAAGGGGCGGCCAAGAGGCCTGCCACCGACATCCACCACTGCTGCGTTTCAACCTGACCCTGAGAAGATGGCCGCCTGGAAGATGGCGTTTCCTGTACCAAGTTGACTTACGACTTTTCTTTTCAGCTGACTGCCAGTTCCAGGGGATCTCACTCACTCATCCGCTCATTCCCCCACCGGCAACTCCGGCCACCCGCCGCTCAACACGCTCCAAGTCGCATGATCTTCGCACAGAACTGCAGCCCGAGCACACCGCTCGGATGCGCCTGGTCCACATCGGTCACGTTTTCGAAGCGCTCCTCGTCATCCTGGTCAGGCTCCCTCCACCGCACGCGCGGAAGACAAAGTGCAGAAGGTGCGTCTGTGTGGTCTAGGAATGTCTAGGAAGCCTCGTCAACTTGGATACTTCGCCGTGAATTGGTGGGGAAGTTGTTCCTCTGTCGTTTCGGTATTGCGGTCCATTTCATTAAGAAACACGGCCAGTTGCAGGGTTTCAAGAGCGGATCCATCTTCTTGCGGCATTACAAGTTGAAGGAACCTCGTGATACTGAGCATGAAAGCAATGTCTTGAGGCTTTCATGGGCTGTGCCATTCCAAGTCACGAGAGGCCCCTCTTTTCATGGAACTCTCATACTCCAACTGCCACGCTCAAGCGTGGGTGAATCTAGAAGCTCTTGAAAGAACACTACGGTTTCTGAACTGGTCAAGCTCTTTTCTTTCGCGGGGATGAGCGTTTGCACTCGGTACGGAGCAAGGATCAAACAGAAACAATGACTGAATGATCATCCAGAATCCATATGGGTGTCTGTGGGACCTCCCAGGCAACGACCCCGTGGATTCAGTTCGGGAAATAGACCCGTCCACCCAGCCAGGGCCTGTTCAAATGCACAGGCTCATCAGTTCGGTCCTTCTCCCAGTAGCTTCAGAATACAAGATCTCCCGTCCACCGGCCCCTGTGGTGAAGTCCTTCTCACCGGGTTCATCCCGGGCCCCCCTCGCCTTGTATCTAAAGACTCGGATCGCCTGGGTGAATGAGGTGGGAAGGCATCCCAGCAGGCACAGGTTCACCATCCCTCCGCACAGGACGCTTTTGATTCGAAAAAGCCGGGCGCCTAGAATCGAAGGGTTGAAGCATGGCCCATGCTTCCAACATCTCCCCGAGCCACTGGGTCAAAGAGCTGAGCCACTGATGCCAAAAACAACCGCAAAGCAGCAAAGCTCGAAAAGCTTATTATTATTATTACGATTATTATATACAGTAAGTTATATAAGGTGACCATCCCCTTCCATTTCTGCCACGTTTCGGCCACCCTAACCGTTCTCCGCCAGATCCTATCGGAGTGTAGGACCTCCCTATCTGAACCCTGGATTTGGTACAGGACACGCATGCATATCATTGTCAATGTATATTGGCCACTCCAGGTCTACTCATCATCCACTCCCCTGCTCTACGCAGGAAACGACGCTCGCTGCGGCTGAGGTGGCGTTGTCATCCCCAGCAGTGACGACCCAACCACTGGGCCAGTCAACACCCAGCTGCCGCAACCAACCGCCATGAACCTCCGCCTGCAACGCAACACGCGGGTGTGTGAAACACACCGCGCCAGCGGGCGCACGCGGGTGTCACCCCAATTCCGGATGGTGCAGCAGCGGAAGGGGCCGTCCGTGCCCTCGACCAATGTGGAAGAACCGCTTTCAGGGGGCCGTGCCG